GGCTCAGACCACTCACTGTCTAGTGCAAGGAACCTTCCAAATCAAGTTAAAAGCCTCCAAAGAAGTTGGCGATAGACCACAGTTGAAGTACAACACTCGGAAACTGAAGGATGAAACTACAAAAGACATCTTCACGTCAGCCATCAAGACAAAATGGGAGACAGCGAGCAACATCCCTGAAGAAACCTGTGTGGAAGAACACTCAAAGTCTTTGAAAGCTATGTGGAAAGAAACCTGCACAACCGTATTAGGAAGGAAGAAGAAAGAAGACAAGGAATGGATCTCGACGGATACCTGGAAGCTGATAGAGAAGGGAGAGGAAGATGGTGAAGCAGAAGATAAACCAGTGCAAGGATGCTCAACGACAAGAGGAACTGAGCATAATGTACAAAACACTGGATAAAGAAGTGAAGAAGAGTGCACGGAAAGACAAAAGACACTTCTACGACACACTGGCAAGTGAAGCAGAACAGGCTGCAGGTAAGAGAGACCTGACGACATTGTATCAAATAACCAGGTTGCTATCAGGGAAGAGACCAACACAGATGAAACCAATAAAAGATGAAGAAGGAAATTTAGTTACAAAAGAAGAGAAACAGAGGAAACGATGGGCCGACCACTTCAAGAAACTCTTGAATCGACCACCACCTGCACTTCGTCCAGAAATACCACCTGCAGCCGCTGAATTACAAGTGAACATAAATCCCCCAACGAAAATGGAAGTCCTGAACGCCATAAAGCTACTGAAATGCGGTAAAGCAGCAGGACCAGATGGATTACCGCCAGAAGCACTGAGAGCAGATGCAGAGACAACAGCGGACATGCTCACACCACTATTGCAGAAGGTGTGGAAGGAAGAGAAGGTACCTGCTCGTTGATTGGAAGAAGGGTTACCTTGTCAAACTGCCGAAGAAGGGAGACCTCAGTGTTTGCAAGAACTGGCGCGGAATCACTCTCCTGTCCACCCCAAGTAAAATATTAAGCCGCATCATCCTGGAGAGGCTTAAAGACGCACTGGATTCAAAACTACGACCGGAACAGGCAGGCTTCAGGAAGTACAAATCATGTGCAGACCAAATTGCAACGCTTCGCATCATCTCATCATACGACAGAGCATAGAATGGCAGTCAGCTCTCTACCTCAACTTCATCGACTTTGAGAAGGCCTTTGACAGCGTCGACCGAGAAGTAATTTGGAAACTGCTTCAATACTACGGAGTACCGCAAACCTTTATCCGCCTCATTCAACAACTATATGAAGATGCCACATGCCAAGTAATCCACAATGGGAAGCTCAGTGATACTTTTGAAGTGAAGACAGGAGTGAAACAAGGTTGCCTACTATCCCCCATGATATTCCTTATTGTGGTGGACTGGATCATGCAGCAAACAGTAGGCAGCGAGAAGAGGGGAATACACTGGACGACGGAAAAGAACCTAGAAGACTTGGATTTCGCCGATGACTTGTGCCTAATGTCACACAAACTTGAAGATCTGCAGGCAAAAACTAACAAGTTGATAGAAGAGGCAGCTAAGACGGGACTTCAGGTGAATATAGAGAAGACAGAAATGATGAAGATACCGCACCACCACCATCAACAACAACAACAAACTCCAATCACCATCAACGGGAGAAACTTGAAGGAAGTAACCTCCTTCACTTATCTAGGAAGCACTGTTTCAACTACAGGCGGGACGGACGAGGACGTCAAAGTGAGAATCGGAAAAGCAAGACAGGCGTTCATTAGCCTGAAACCAGTGTGGAGATCTTCTGCACTCAGCATGCGGAACAAGATACGGATTTTCAACACCAACGTCAAGTCAGTGCTTCTGTATGGTTCAGAGACTTAGCGCGTTACGAAAAGCATTTCCAACAAACTACAGACATTCATCAACAACTGCTTACGCTCGCTGCTGAAGATCAGATGGCCAGAAAGAATAAGCAACAAGGAACTCTGGGAACGAATCAACCAAGAACCTATCACGCAACAAATATGCAGGAGGAAGTGGAGATGGATTGGCCATGCACTGAGAAGGCCGACTGAGGACATCACGCGTCAGGCCAGTTGCTCGAGTGGAATCCCCATGGGAAGCGACGAGTTGGACGTCCGAGGGTGACATGGAGGAGGTCGTGCGAGGAGGAAATGAGAGCTTGTGGGCTGTCGTGGGACCAGGTTCAAAAGATCTCAGAGAACAGAGTTCACTGGAGGCGTGCTACTGAAGCCCTATGTTCCACTAGGAACCCAAGGGAATAATAATAATAATAATAATAAGATCTGGATTCACATCACCCAGGGCTGCAGTCAGGTGAAGTTGTTCGACAATAACGTCTTATACCATAGTCGCGTTTCTCATTCTGGTTATGAATAACATCCTTCGCTGTGACGCATGTTCATTCGTCTTTTGAGGATCAGATGTGACAGAACTTGAGTCGCGGATTTCCCTATGAGCTACTACCCAGAATTAGTATCAGAATCAATTTATCGCCAATATAGAAGGAATGTGCTCAGTAGTCTACTGACAGTGATTGGTTGATTCTATCCAAACTACTCAACGTCATGAAATCACAGTCGAATGTTTCAAACAAAAACAAAACAAACTCAAGAATCAACGAGACGCTGATATATTCCAGGATCCGCAGATAATGCACTCGAGAACATTAAGCTTTTGTTCCTATCATCAAGCTATTTAACCAACATAGAATGGAATTGATTAGCTCAAACATTTTTACTTCAGCCACTTCATAATACAATGTCACCATCATCCAGTGTCATCGATCGTAACCCTTCCACATCTATTTGGTTGACCTCACAAGTTAACACCAGTGATGTGTCTCAGGGTTTTTATACCGAAGCAAAATGGCAACCGGTACGTAAGTGACTATCAATTGACTTTTGACTTCCGAGGAGTTTCCGGGTTATGTTAGTCCCTATTTAAAATTGTTTTCAAATCATTCATTTTATCTTAAATCAACCAACTCAGTCAGTTTCATTGCCTACTTACATTTAAAGAAAGTATCTTCAAGGTTTTATTAGTGAGCAATATCTTCAAGCGTTTTAATATTGCAGGAGATATGGTTGCCGTAACCACTGGTTTTATTGACTGCAGCTCAGAAACTTTGCTTTTCGGTTATTTAATTCAGATCATAGTCGCTTTACAAATAAACTCCATCTGTAGGTGAAACAAAATACATTATCGTTCTCAAGCATGTCTAGTCTGACAAGTAAAAGATACAAGATCATTCTAAGTCATCCCGTTGTAATTGCTGTGCCAAAAAATTATTTTCTATTTTGGCTAATTTTATAATCTTAACTTGTATGATTTGTGTAAACGGACCTCACAACTCAGTTGCGTCTTATCGTTCGCTGTATGTTGTCAACAAAAATTTCAGTTGGCGCTCTGTAGGGATTTATTAACTTCAAGCTGATATTTATCATGGGCTAACATCAATTGGGGAAATACTGGAAACCTGGAAGAAATGGAGAGCTGTTTCATCCCAGTAGGGGACTCCCCAGCCGTGCGCACCCGTGACCCCACCTCCCTAGGAATCGAATTAACTAGAAATCAATAGGTCCCCACAAGCCTCCAAACTGAAATAAACTAGTTCTCATTAGTTAATATCTTGGAGAGGTGATTCCTGAAGTTTCAATGAGAAGTCGTGACAGGTGGGGCAAATGGGGTGGACGTGAGAACAAATATTCAGCGATGACATTGGCTAATGGTTGTGCTATATCATGAAGTGATAGAAGTGGGAAGTATGCACCATCGGACCCTGACCCAATGGCTTGATGGCAACGTGCTGGCCACCGGACCAGAAGGCCCTTAGTTCGAGCCCCAGCGGGGTTGTGGATGCTCACTGAAGATGGGTCTTCTACCAGGACCAGTGCTCCCGGGTTCCCAGTGTTTCTCCGAGTGATGTCGGTCTATGATGAATGCCAGCTTAGAGACAGGGATTTTGCTCGCAAACTTTCAAGCTGTGGCTGTTTTATTTGCTTTCCGTTGAAAATATATATATCTTTTAGCATCAAAGTATTCTTCAGAATTAATAAGAATATTTGGCCACTATAAAAAAAAGACTGTAATGTATGGCTGATCGAACGTGATCTTTCTACTCTATGGATTACAGATTGTAGATCAGTATCCAAATAATCTTGCTACTTTCGCTTTTGAGTAGACGTTTAAGTCCTTTCATACTTTCAGCGTTTAACAGTAAATGGTCCTAACCAGTAACTAAAAGAGGTGAGGACTGTTGACACAGTGGCGTGTTTAAACCTTGGCTTACAAAAAGCAGCTTTCCACTGAATAGAGTATATCATATCTCTCTTTTTGAACTTGTTTTATTTGCCCAAATATGACCTTAAACTATATCACGTACTGCACAGATTCGTAAAATATTTTCACATTATCCCTTTCCTAGTTCATAATGTAATCAGCAGAAAGCATAACGATTGATAACATTTGATCTCTAAACACAAACCAATACCTCACATGACTGCTGAAATACTCAGATCAGACTGTAGTTTTTTATAATGGATGAATTCACCTTCAGCACCGAATCTACACACGCTTTCTTCTTCGTTCTACCGTGCACTAGGGTACCTACAGACCGGACGATAACCTAACAACACTTGTCTGTTGAATAGTATTGACATTTACCGTTTGTAGTACTGTTAGTATTCGGATTATCTGGATGTTAGAAATATTTCATTTATGGCTATTGTATAAGGAGTAAATGCTTGGTGATATTACATCCTGAGGATTTTAAACTGCATCGAATATGCTGCCTCGAATAAAGTTGTTGTTATTATAAAGGAAATATGTCTGTACAATTCCAATGAAGTAGATACTTTGAAGAAGCAACTTCAGGAGATCATGAAACGTAAGAAATTTATTCTACTACCCCATCAAGTTCTAACAAATATACTTCCTTTACTCAATGCTCAATTAATTCAATTTTGTCAGGTCAAATTTTGATCCTGGAGTCTATAAAAGTTGTGACTTGTCATTATAAAAGTTAACATATATTTTAGAACAATAGATGCATACATATAATCAGAATACTTCAGTAGATTGTTAGAATTTACCATAAATGTTACAAAACTTTTTAAAACTTTACATCTGGACTAGGTGGTGGTGGTTTGATCAACATCGGTAGTGAAGTGGAGCTATTTACCTGATTGATTTCACATGAATGATATTTAGCCATCTGTTTATGGCTATGCCTTTCTATTACCCGTGAATGACGTAATTGTGGTAAGAAAGATTTTGTCTTCGGTTCTAGCGAAATTAACTCTGAAATACTGGACTTATCGATAGCAAAATGTCTTCTATATCTAGGAATAAAATAACCACTGTAATTGTTATCTTTCATTAGAGTTTTACGATTGGACATAGAGCATATTGTGTGCATACGCTCAATATAACCTGGATGTCGTTTACTTGACCAGCAGGAATTATTTGATTTACAATGATCATTTTCACCATCAAACTCTTGTTGAAGTTTATCTTCCACTGCAGAAAAAGCAACAGTAGCGGTATCATTCATGTCTGCATAAATATCTGGCGGTAGAGACTTCATTCTTTTGGCTTGATTGTAAACATTTTCTAAAATAAATTAAAAAAATTCAGTAAGACTGTGGATTTGGAATCTTGCTGCGATTTTGCAATGAAACCAGAGATTTCTGAGATTATAAAGGTTGAATGCGAATTACTAGACATTTTCACATTATCTTCGAGATAATTGTCAGTTGACAACTGGGTGTCCCTAAAAACAGCCAAATTTTCATCCAACAGATTTTCAATATCTTTTATGGTTGAAGCAATAATTCTGCATCAACTCACCAATACATAATGGTTATGCGATCTCTGTCTGTTAACCCTCTGAAGATTTATAAGAGAATCAGTCCTGTTCTCCCATGGTATTAGTCAGCACTAAGTAAATGTTTAAAACTATCCCTTTCTGTTCATCCTCTTTACTATTAGTAGTATGCCGTCTGAAGAACTACTCAAATTTTGGGAAAACGTTTTATCCTATGGCTCAAATGGGACCACACACAGTAACATTACAAAATAAACAAACTCAGGAATACATCGGTAAAGAATGCGAATTCAAAGGAAAATATCATACCCATTAGTAGGTGAATCAATCTACACTCTTTTACCCCTCCCCCGAAAGTCAACATTAACCTAATTTATATCAAAGCAAAAAGAATAAGATTGACGGAATTAAGTAAATCGATTTATTCTATTTCAAGACATGTTCTTAACTGCAACGACCTGAATAAAAGCTGAATTGGTGTGAAATAAAATTGATAGCATATTTTTGTATTAGAATAGACGAGATATTTCCAAGCGGGTTGGAATTGATTGAGACAGGTAACACCAAGACACGAATGGCTTTACTACAAATGATGAAGATAAAGTTTGTTAATATACAAGAAATAAGACGTAGTGAAGATTCTGGAGTCCCGTCAGACCACCTGACAAAACCCTAAAATACTCACCTTGGTTTCTTTCTTATCAACAAACAAATCTGTCACCATCATTTGTTACGCTGACATTCGTCTTTCTGTGCCACGTATTCCAGCTGACGTCTTTCTACCCCCCCTCCCTTCAGTACTCATTTCTTCTGCTCCAATGGAAAGGTATTTTAGTGGTTTTATCTAAGATAAACTTATTACTTATTTTAGATTCTTTGTAGCTGAATTCAGGTCGTGAAGTAGTGTGAATAACCTTATTTTATAAATTTTATTCTTTTTGCTTTATTAAAGGTAATCTAGGAAACATGTTCCTTAGTGATCGACATCCTCATAAGTACTAAGGACAATGTAAGATTCTGAGCTTAAAGCAAAACGAAGAAACTGCGGAATGTGAAGTGAATCGCAGCGAGTGTTGACGAAATTTTGAGTTCATGATTAGACTGTAACTCATTATAGGGTGTAACTCATGTGTAAAAAACATCATCGTGACTTCCACTTAAAACAAAAACTTACAGACCAGAAATTTCAATTTCCCAGTGAGAAGTAAATGTCCCTAAGCCTATTTCACTTACGAATGATAATTGTATCACTTTACCTAAAATAAATGTGCCAGATAAATGTTCTGCATGATTGTTTATTTCACCACTCCCTTCCGGATATTGAATGTGGCCTGAACTCTGCGTGAAATATTCAGTATAAACTCAGTAATCAGGTTCGTTTTACGTTAGGACATTCGACTGTTCACAAATGCTGAAAGCTTATTCAGGGATTAAGAGCTTCAAACGACGTAGTTGTTTCATGTCAATGGTCTCAGGGAGATAATAAATACTACTAATTGAATTTCGAGGTTTATAAGGATTTATTGATTTCATGTTACTATTCATCAAGGGCTGATATCAGTTGGAAGGACACACTTGAAACCTAGAAGCACTTGACATCTGTGTCATCCAACTAGTTTGGGACTTCTTAGCAGTGCGCACCCATGACCAGGCCTCGTTAGAGATAGAACCTGCAACCTCCAGGTTCCGTGGCCGGCACTAAGCATCTGTGTCATCCAATGTCCTTTACCGCTAAGCCACTGGGTCGAAACCCATTGGTCCATATTTCCAACTTCTGTTAGTTCACGACATGGCGTAATCACCACCCAATGTCATCGTTGAGTATTTGTCCTCATATCCATCAGGTTTGCGTTACCGGTCACGTCTTCTAATTGGAACTTTAGAAATCACTTGTCAGAGCTAGTTCCCAGTGAGCACTTTCTGAGCACATTCCTAAAGTTTCAATGAGAAGGCGTGACCGGCAACACAAACCTAATGGATGTGAGGACAAATACTCAACGATGACATTGAGTTATGGTCGTGCCATGTCATGAACTAACAGAAGTTGGAAATATGGATCAATGGGTTCCGACCCAGTGGCTTAGCGGTAAAGGACGTCGGATAACACAGGTGTTTAGTGCTCCTAGGTTTCCGGTGTTCCTCCAACTGATATCAGTCCATGATGAATACTAAATTGAAAAATCTAAAGGTCCTCATGAAGATCCAAATTCAATTGAGTCTTATCTAATTTCCTTTGTGATTATTATGATGGTGAATGTAAAAACGCAACTGGAAAGTGTTCTTTGTATTGACTTTTTCTATTTTTTTTACAACTTAATGCAACGCTCACCCTGTAGCTGTATAAATTTCCTTCTGTATTAGTGACTTCTTTCCACAATGCAGTCAAAGGTGTTATCTCCAAACTAGTTCAGTATCTATAGGTCCTTTAAATGATACTTTTCTGTTGAAGCATGAGCTTACACAGGACTACAGGTGCATCTTTCTCATTATGTCATTTGTCTGTGATAGGAAGCGGCCTAAATAGCTATCAACATTCTGAGTTATCAGTCACCAAGGTAGGAGTTTTGGGATTTCAACCTTCTTTCATGTTACTACATAATTTTGTTCTACAGTTAACCAATCAGAATAAGTATCCAACTTCTGACCTAGTGTCTTTGTTTTCTGAGGAAAAACTGTAAATGAATAAGATGCTTTTTGTCAAATCTATCTTCTTTACAGTCATAGGAAGGTCTTTATCCCCTGATTTTCGCCGCTCAGTGAAGTGTCAGGTCTAAGGGAGAACACACGGCCTCCGTATCCAGTCCCAGTATCCTACTGCGTTAGTAAGGTTTCTCGAATATCGTAATACTTTGTCAGTCAATTCAGTCTGCATATTCGTTGTACCATGATATTAAGCAATACATTTCAATTTCAGTGTCGTTTAACTTGATTGAAGATATCATATCAACACGAAATTTGTTCATTCACTTCCCAGTAACAGATTTATGCTTAGGCTACTCACCAATTACAAAACTTAATTTAGGTGTATCACCAGCTTGCCTTGATGAATCAGTGAAAAGTTTACTATTTTTGAATGTTTCTTGTTTGCTTGGTCCATGCTGAGTTGTGCGCCGACGTAGTAGACGACCAGGCATTTTTGCCATATAGCAACCGAATTTGAAATATCCTCCACTGAACAATTTCTATGCGATGGTGACTTGTTACCATCCACTAAAAAAATGGAATAAGCACTTAAAATGGTGAGGAGGAAAAGTTGAACAATATGAAACTAGTATCATAATAGGAAAGACTGTCAAGTGAATCTTATGGTAACAGTTGCTAATTTTCACCATTGAATGGTCATTTTGACCCATAATTTAATTCTTGATAAGTTTTCAAACTTTACAGGTGGAAATTAGTTATTTTGGATTGATTTAAAAGCAATGACCTCATAACAACGACACAATCCATAAATATTCAGACCAATCTAGATTGGTTGGTAAAATAATTAAATGCTAATACAGCGGATTATCTTATATTCGAACGTAAACTCAGTGGAGGATGGATACCAAACATAGTTCATGGAATGTGATAAGATGATCTGGGTGTTGGTTGTCATACTACCTGAGCGATCAGAATGTTTTAGGCGTCCACCTGTCGGCTCTAGACCTAAATATCAAATATGCAGAACAAGGCGACAAGGCAAGGAATCCCACTATCGTACAAGCCGATGATTAAAACAGGTTTACATAGTGTTCACTCTTTCTGCATCTTGTGAACCACTAGTTTATAATTAGGGTTTTCTATACCTCTTAAGTGGACTAATCTGATTTCATTTGCGATTGTACACTTTTCATTCAAACTTTCTTGGAAAACACCCCATAGTAAAATGATGTTAGTGAATAACATCTCCCCGATAGGGAGAATTCGGATAATGACAGCAGATTCTGTCATCCGCAGAAAATATAAACTACAGCACTTCAAATGGCTTTCAGGATATTTATATTTCCTGTACTTTTCGTATAATTGCTAATTCCTATTGAAAATACCCTAATTTTTATGGAGAACTTCAGTAAATACTTTCTTGGTAGTATTGTCATCATCATAATCAAACAGTATTTAAAATATACGTAGGTTTTATAACAGTGAAACCAAATCCTACACAGTATGGCTTGTGATAACACTTTGCATAGATATAGGACGTAAATGTAATCATAGTTCATGCACTTATCAACAGGCTTTAATCAGTATGGAGAATCACAGCATCAATCTAGTTTCAAACCAATAAGGTGTTCTATGATATAAAAGTAAAATTTGGGCAGCTTGGTAGAAGCCAGTTTCATTTGAGTTACTTTATTAGATGCATCCCACAGTGAACCAGTATTGTCATTTACTTAATTATGTTTTGGACACAATTTACAGTCCATGTTCATATCGTGCAGCTCTCTTTTCTTTAGTTCGATTATACGAACCTCAGTAAAACCTTTCCGTGATGATCTAACTTCTAACCCTTAAAGAGGCTTCATTTTCTTCCTGGAGTTTTGCATGAATGGAGCTGATAAGCTGAAGGATAACATCGAAGCTGAGAATTATTTGTCAGGGTCCGGTGTATGACACAATCAGTTAACCCACCATAAAAAGATTATTAGAAGGCAGATGAAACAGAGGTAAGGTGATAATGTCATGAGTCTTACCTAAATTTTTCGGACACATTACACAATCGGTGCAATTTTTCTTTTGACTGGATAGTGAGAGAATTACCTCATTTAAATTATAACCTGTTTCTTGCATTTCAGAATTATTATTATTCAATAAAGAAGGCCAGTTAATTGGGGATAAATAACAGCGATTCATGCATAAGTCTTGTGTGCTGTCTACTGAATCCATGTAGTGTGGAGATTTCTTCGCTGTCACTTGCTCAGATTGTTCAAAAAACAAAAGATCAGTTAATCTATGTGTTTTGACTTTTGATTTATCTTGTTCCTAAGAAATGTAATGGATAAAAGAAATAAAACTGTCGTTAAATGCATGAGGTGTTTTCTTTTCATCTGTACTCTTAGCTACTGAATAAAACCGAGTAGTAAAACGATTTAGCGTAAAATTACTCCCCTTAAATCATAAGTCACCCGACTCGTACACGCGACTAGTATAGATAACTTTATTTCAAGAGTATGGTATTCTCAGCATGTAATATCACAAGGCGTTTACTTCTTAAGCAATACTCATAAATGAAACAATTCTATCATTTAAATAATACGAATACTAACAGTATTACAAGCGATGATAATCATACTATTCAACAAACAAGTATTGTTAAGTTATCGTCTAGTCTGTAGGCACGTGGTGCACGGCAGAACGTAGAAAACGTATGTATAGGTTTGATGGTGTAGGCGGATTCATCAAGTTTGAGTGTGTACAGTTTGTTATACGTATTTGAGGAAAAGTTAAATGATGTATTGTTGTGCGTTTGAAAGCCCATTGTCATCAATCGTGATGTTTTCTCCTGATTATGAGCTAGGAAAGGGATAATGTGAAAACACTCCACGAATCTGTGGTAGTGAGTGATATAGTCAGAGGATATGGTTTGTTGAATACATCTTCAAAAAAGTAATTTGATACAATATTTTCGATTGCAGATTTTTAAGAACCTAAGGTTGAAGCAAAATTAAAAGAACGAACAAATTACAACACTAAATCTTACAACTGAGTTTCCCTGGGTTACCTAAATCAGTACACACCTCAGTTTTCTCATTATTAGATGTAAGGCAGATGGAAATGATCGCCACTAAATTGTTTCTCTTTTTAACTGAGTTAAATAAATATGAGCTTGGGGCAAACCAAGTAGAATGATGGTCCCGTTTTATCTCGAATCGACAGAAGTCAGGAAATGTGGAACATTGCATTCCGATCTAGTGGATCGACTTTGACATGCTCACCTTGGAACCTGGAATTCGGGTTCAATCCTAGAGAGGTCATTGGTGAACACAACTAAGGAGCCCCATTCAAGGACGAAACATCTGTCCAGCGTCCCTATGTCTTTGATGGTTCTTCAACCGATGCCGATCAGTGATGAATACCAAGTTGAAATCAGTACATCCTCACAAAATTCAAAACTATGTCGTTTATAGAGTAGTTGAGACTAAATTTTATACTTTCAGGTTAGAAATGCACTCCATTAAAATATGAATAGGCTTTTGCTACTACAATGAAGTAAAAAAACAAGTTGGTTTCTTTAGTATTACGTAACTTATTATTTTCTCTAAGAGCTTCTTTTTGATACCATGGGATGAATTGTGATATATGCTCTAAGATTTGATTAGAACAGAAAAATCAGGACATAAAAACACTGCGTGACATGTTCAAAGATCGGCGTGATAGATTACAGAAATCAAAATCAAGAGAGGTGTTATATGTTAGCCTCTAAAAGAGACTTAGGTAACTTTTCAGCATATATTTATTTAATATTCTCTTGAAAATTATCTCCAAGTTGTCTAGATTCCCTTACTTTAATACATATGGGCAAAAGTGATAATTAAGCCAAAGCCAATGAAAAACTCTATGGACTTCTTTTACCCTATGTCAGCAAACCCTCTGTTAACTTCTTTCCTACTCAGTACTCTTTCACCCCATGTGATATTAACTTTGGACCTCATTTTAAATCTTTAGCTTCATACTACATACATACGCGCGTTCTTCATATTCCACTCTCGTTTGCCTTGGATACAGTTTTGTCGCGGTACTGTTGACGCGCATACTGTAAGGTGCTTTGAGAGTGGTAAATCCATAAATACCTCATGACTCGAGGTTTGTAATTATTCACTATTGTTTATTAAAACGTAACTGTATTTTAGTTAAATTCTGTGTTTTGAATTTTACGCGCGTAAGTCGATTATTTGGCTCGTTGTTGAAGAATCGCTTGTTCGTTTTGGCTTTGAATTTCTTTACAAGGAATTCATACCCTTGTTTGTTTATTTCTCGATTTTTGAGTTCAATACTGCATATTATCTCTGAAGTTACACACGATGGGATGGGTTATCCACAATTTCAACTCGAATATATTCACGAAACGAAATTCAACAAATGAAATTTCTTGCAATAAACGCACTTTCACTGCAAATAACTTTCGAGTTTTTTGTTACGGTAAATGTTACCGTTAGTATGCCGACTGATAGCATCTTTGAAGGCAGTACTGACAGGTGTAGATCTGAATTTCTCTCTCGCTGTGTCTCCCTCTTAGTGCCAGGGTACATGAAAAGATAGATTTAGGCTTCCGTAGACTGGATTTGACGTACGAGCAACAAAATTCAGCAAACACGCAGAATTTAACAGCAAGATATTGTTGAACACTCATTCACCAAACATTATCAGTGTTGTCTTGCAGGTGTTACTCAAAAGTGCCACCACCAATACAACACCAGAGCAGTATTTTCTATCATGCGTTATTCCCCTTACTAACTTTTTCGAACTGTTTGAAAGTCATGATAAATTGGTTGGCTGTGGCTAGCAGAAGAATCCAGGACGCGTGTTTGAAAGTGGTCTTTACTATACTTTAGGGTTCACCGAGTATGCGATACACTGCAAAGCAGTCTGAGAATATTATGTTTTATAAGAAACGTGTTAGACTGGTGCAAATAATTGGAGGGAAATCTAACTCACTAATTATAAATGGGCTAATGAATAACTTTAGCTACACGGGTTTCAGCGGGTTTTCGGATATTAATTAATTGCAAGAATCTTTATTCACGATAAATCAGTATAAGCTTAGAAAGTCACAATAAAAGCATAAGCAATCAATGCTTGTTTCTAGGTAATTCTCTAGGTACTTCACCTTTGGCAGACCATAAACTTTTATAGATATCCAAACCAAGTTGAGATTTTATGGTTTGAAAATATTTGGGGATTCATTATTATTTTTATTTCATAGTTATTTCTAATTTATTAGACTCACAGGTAGTTAACAGAAAGATGACCACCAAATACCAGTGACATCATAAAGGCCCTAAAATTCCTCTTGGAGACTACTTACTTCACATTTAAAGGAAAACTATACAGGCAAATTAACAGTGCTGGTAAGGGTTCACCCAACCTATTTATGAGTAAATTCGAAGAAAGTGTCTTCACTTGCTTGCTCAAGCCAAAAATTTGGCTGAGATATGTTGATGACACTTTCGTTAATTTAAAACGTGACTTATACCAGACATTCTTAGGTCAGCTGAACTCTAGATTTCTCAGTAGCAAGTTCAGCTCAGAAAAAGAAATAGATAAAGGGGAACATTTAGGTATCACCATTTTCAGGAAAGCAACGCATTCAAACAAATACTTAGATTTCAACTCATCACATCCAATAAGTGTAAAAGTATTTGTTACCTCCAGTATCTTAAGGAGAGCACGCACTCTAATAACGGATGAAAATGAAAGAGTTAAGGAATTAAAATCTGTAAACAAGATGTTTAAAGTGAATAATTATCCGGTAAAATTTATTCGCAAAATAGAAAATAACATTAAATTACATCGTGAAACTACTCTTAAATCATGGGCCTCAACAATAGTTGTCCCTTACAGATCACATACATCGTATGAAATTAGAAGAGGGCTCAACAAATCCAGTATCAGAGTGTTCTACAGAACATCAAACATATTACAGATCACCTTAGTTCATTAGAAGGATAAGATCCTTATAGACTGACAGTCTGTTTTTATAAAAAAAAGTGCTTAGACAACGATGCAATACATAAGACAAACTTCCGTGAAATCAAAATTGGGAGAAATAAACACCAAACACCTCCCATCCGACCTCCTAGAAATCCAGTGGAACTGAAAAAAAACGTGAAAACACATCAATCATAGCTCTACATCCTACAATTTCAGGTCACAAGATCGATTTTGACAATATCGAAATTATTCAGAAAGGCATTAGAAATTATAGGGAACGTCTCATGGCAGAATCTCTTCACATTCAGTGAATTCAAAATATTTTAAATAGGAATGAGGGAGTAAAACGTAATTTGACCTGGTCTCAACCCACCTCCACAGACTGACATAACCAACTTACATACGATAAGAACTATCGACATATGTCTATGTACAAATCTCAACCTGTAATTCATATACTCTTCACATACAACACACTACATATGGATATCATCTTCATTCTACAATTCTGATAATGCAGAATCATTCATGCCTGAGAAAACTTATCAGGTTATCATATATAAGCTTTGGGGATATTGTAAATTCCGGTTTACTATAACTTTGAAAAAGTTATTAGCACTAAATAGCGAAACGTTAGTTGAAACAAATTTATCTGTTTAACATTCATTGGAAAATAAAAGTACCGAAGTAATGCATAAACTTCCTTCTCTGTGCTCATTCAACGTATAGTATTTCTACGGATGGAAAGTGGCATCTGTTTGTTTGAAAAGACGGAATTGCAGTAAATAGACATGATAATCCATAAGTACTACTGGAAGTGATTTTTCTCAAAAGGAATACACGTGTTCATCCCTCTTCTAGACCAAGCAATGAATACGCTGAAGCAGATATTATGTACTACACGCTGAAAACATCTGTTGGTTTTGAATTAAGTATAAGCTTCTCCTTCCACACAGTCATTCGTATGGATAGTTCTAGATTTAGTGCATATTTGCTGAACCAGTGGAATCTTCTTGATTCTAAGTTCTCTTCACATCACAGTATAATTGTCCTAACCGTCAGCCTATCTTGGCAAACGAAGTTACCTAGTTTTCAGTAAGACAAACCAACTTGAAGTCAATAAATCCACACAAACCTTATTTGTGACTTGCTACGAGATGGGATTTCTCTAAGTTATCACGAGAAATGGTGACCTATGAGCCCAAATACTCAGCGATGGTGTTGGATAAAGGTAAAACTATGTTGAGGATTAACAGAAGATGGAAAATGTGAACCATCAAATTTCCATTCAGTGGCTCATTTTTGACAAGATCTCTTTGAGAGCTAAAGGTCGTGGGTCCAATCCCTGGCGTAGTCGTAAGTGCCACTGCCGAGGAGTTCTGTACTGGAATGAAACACTTGTCCAGTGCTCCCAGGCTTTCTATGGTTCTCCAAATGATGTCAGTTCATGATGAATACCAACTTGGAAATTAAACGTTAAAAAATAACAGTTTCAATAACTTACACGTAACTGAATATCAGCATAACTTCGTCTACGTCTATCCGATTGATGGGCTTTCAACAATTCATTTAAGAAATGGGGTGTTGTATGTTGATGTTGTTTCAAATTTGTTTTCTCCGATTTCAGTGAATCATTCAAATAAAGTAGATTCTGATTCGGAACAATAATTTCTGGTAATACTGAACTAAAACAAAAATTTAATTGTGTAGGTATAGTGTTTCAGTGTTTCGATATTTTATTGGAGTTAACAGGCAATAATCGTTTCACAATAAACAACATAATAACCACTTTTGACTATCTGAGATGGCAGTGTTTTGACAGATTAGTATTGTTACTGGGTGGTGATTGAAGGTGAAATGAGGATTTAGACAGCTGCCGGACTCGAACCAGCGACCACCGGGTTTCCGGCCCGATGCTCTACCAACTGAACTCCGTGGTCAGACCAGGGTCTGCAAAAGAGGACCTCATAATTCACCTGGCAGGGTATCGGTTTGGAAACCCGGTGGTCACTGGTTCGCAACCGGGCGCTGTCCAAATTTCGATTTCACCATCAATCATCATTAACCTCTGCACTCACTTATTTATTTCTAGTCTACATCGTTAAAATTACTGAAAAATGTGATTATGATAAACCCTGGAAGTGGATTTTTTAGCTTTGTAGACTCATGTAAAAAGTTTATTTACAATTTGCAGAAAAAAAAAGAAAATCCTTTTAAATTTATTTCCAAGGATAACAGAACAACTTAGAATCGTGTATGAGACCATGTGGTCGGATAGTGATCAATCCCCCTTAAGATGATAGCGAGTACTGCCTTAAATATAAAGAAATATTAGAAAACAAAGTAGTTTATATATTTAACACTGTTCGATGTTCTGTAGCACTCCTCAGTACGACTTAGTAGTTGTCATTTCAAGTTGATAATATCATTTATCTTGCAACGTGTGTTAGATCCAAGTTATTTTGTCTAGGATTTTTCATTTGATATTATCTTCAAGACTAGGTTAGACCCGCTTGGAAAATTTACGTTTGTGCCACAAACACTTACGCAATTTACAATCTACAATCACAAATATCCATTTTGCTTAATTTCACTCTTTGTCAACTTCGTCAGTTAATTAAGGTTATCTGACTAACTTTATCGTTTTATTAAAGTAATGCCTCCGTTCAGCATTCTTATTTAACATTCAAATTCGATAGTTTTTGTCCAAAATCGTCTTCTAGTTTGAACACTCTTATCTACAATAGCTGTATGCCTCATGAAGACCAAGTATTTCCTCAAATCGTTTTAGAAGATTTTCGTTCTAAGTCGACATCGATCAAAAGAAGATCGGAAACCTGGAAGCATTGGCTAGTTGTTTTGTCCTAGTGTTTTGCATCTAGATGGACTTACCAAAGTTCCAATGAAAAGTTGTGATGTAAATGGACAATAAACTTGGCTCTATGATTGAGCGATAAAGTGCTGGTCATGAAATCTAATGACTCTGGGTCATGGGCAAGCATTACTTAAGAGGGCCACCCGACAACAAAACAGTTGTCTAGCACACTGAGATTCCCAATAGTCCTTCAACTGATGTCTATCTGTGATGAAAACCCTCTTGAAATCAATTAATTTTCCCCTGAAAAACCTTAAGTATTTCCTTATTTCTACAAGTCCCAATTCCACATGTCTAACGTATTAAAAAAATATGGATATTCCATTTTACAATCAAAACATATTGTAATCACCTACTCATGCGCAGCAAGTGTTCATAATAATTTTCAGTACATTTTTGAATAGCTTTGAGAATTAACTTAATGCCAGAAAAAGTTCATTCAACGAACACTTGATCGATAACTTATTGATAATCTTATTATTATTGATTACTATTTGTCAATTGGGTTCCGAGTGGAACATATGGCTTCACTAGCACACCTCCATTCCACTCTCTTCTCTGCAAACTTTGAAATGTGGCTCCACGACAGCCCAGAAGCTCTCATTTCTTCCTCACACGATCTCCTCCATGTCACCCTTGCCTCGGACGCCCAACTCGTCGCTTCCCACCTGGCTTCTACTCGAGGGCCTGGCGCATGATGTCTCCAGTCGGCCTTCTCAGTGTATGCCCAATCCATCTGCACTTCCCCATTCTGCATATTTGTTGAGTGATAGGTTCTTGGTTGGTTCGTTGCCGGCCAGAGTTACTTGTTGCTTATTCTTTCTGGCCATCTGATCTGATCTTCAGTAACGAGCCAGCGTAGGCAGTTGTTGATCAGTGTCTGTAGTTTGTTTTAAATCCCTTTCGCAACGCACCAAGTCTCTGAACCATATAGAAACACTGACTTAACATTGGTGTTGAAAATCCGGATGTTGTTCACGCTTTATTCTGAGTGCAGATCTCCACACTGATTTCAGGCTAATGAACGCCTGTCTTGCTTTTCCGATCCTAACTTTGACATCCTCGTCTGTGCCTGTATCACCTGTAGTTGAAACGATGCTGCCTAGATAGGTGAAAGAGGCTACTTCCTTTAAGTTTCTCCCGTTGATAGTGATTGCAGCTTGTCGTTGATGCTGTTATACGTTGGGTATCTTCATCACCTCTGTCTTCTCTACGTTCACTTGAAGTCCCGTCTTCGCTGCCCTGCCTCTTCTGTCAACTTGTCAGTTCTCGCCTGTAGATCTTCAAGTTTGTGTGACATTATACATTAGGCGAAATCTAAATCTTCTAGGTTCTTCTCCCTGGTCCAGCGCATACCCCTCTTCTCGCTCCTTACGGTTTGTTGCATGATCCAGTGCACTACAATCAGGAATATCATGGTTGATAGTAGACAGCCTTGTCTTACTCCCGTCCCCTGTCTTCACTTCAAACGCATCACTGAGCGCACATTGTGAACTACTTGGTATGTGGTGTCTTCATATGGTTGTTGAATGAGACTGATATAGGTTTGTGGTATTCGTAGTGTTAAGGCAAATGCCTGCCAAATTACTTCTCGGTCGACGCCTCGATCAAAGGCCTTTTCAAAGTCGATGAAGTTGAGGTAGAGGGTTGACTGCCATTCTATACTCTGTTCTATGATGAGATGATGTGAAGCGTTGGAATTTTGTCCGCACATGATTTGTACTCCCCGAAGCCAGCTAGCCTGTTCCGGTCGTAGTTTTGAATCCAGAGCATCCTTTAGTCTCTCCAAGATAATATTTTGCTTGGGTTGGACAGGAGCATGATTCCGCACCGGTTCTTGCAAAGACTCAGGTCGCCCTTCTTCAGGAGTTTGACTAGGTAGCCCTTCTTCCAATCGATCAGCAGGTACCTTCCCTTTCTTTCAGACTATCAAAAAAATAGTGGTGTGAGCATGTCCTCTGTTGTCTCTGCGCCTGGTCTCAGTGCTTCTGGCGGGATTCCATCTGGTCCTGCTGCTCTCCCTCATTCCAGTAGCTTTATGGCTTTCAGAACTTCGACTTTCGTCAGAGGGCTTGTGTTCGCTGGCAGTTCTATTTCTGCAGGTGGTGATCGATTCAAGAGCTTTTCGAAGTGGTCAGACCATCGTTTCCTTTGTTTCTCTTCTTTGGTAATTAGATTTCCTTCATCATCTTTTATTGGTTTCATCTGTGTTGATCTCTTCCCTCACAGATAGTAACCTGGTTATTTGATACAATGTTGTCAAGTCTCTCCTACCAGCCGGCAGCCTGTTCTGCTTCACTTGCCAGTGTGTCGTAGAAGGGTCTTTTGTCTTTCCGCGCACTCTTCTTCACTTATTTCTCTAGTGTTATATACGTTGTATCCGGTTACTCTTCTCGCTGTTAATTCTTGCACTGGTTTATCTTATGCTTCACCATCCTCCTCTCCTCTATCAGCCTCCACGTGTCCGTCAAGATCCATTCCTTATCTTCTTTCTTTTTTGTCTTGATGTCTGACATGAAGATGTCCTTTGTAGTCTCGTCCTTCAGTTTCTGTTCTGGGTGCTGAACTTGAACTGTGGTCGTCCATCACCAGCTTCTTTGAATTGAAGGCTTTGAACGTGATTTTGAAGGTTCATTTCACTAGACAGTATGTGGTGTGAACCTACATCTCCCCCCCTTCTTGACCTTGCTTCAAGTAGGCTGGCTGCATCTCCACTTTCTTCACATTGAGATGAAGTCGATTTGATTTTTAGTGTGTCCTGGTGTCTAGTGAAATCAAATCCATGTCACTTTGTGAGTGTCCCTGTGCTTATACACACTGCCTCCAATCACCAAGTCGCTGAATGCGTAGAAGTCTGCAAACAGTTCTCCATTCTCGCTCATCATTTCACCGAGTGCTTCTCGGCCAATGGTTAGTTCTCTTCCTGTGTTGTCCGCTCCAAGTTTGGCATTCATGTCTCCCATTAGAATTTTGATGTCGCCACCTGGGGTGAGGTCTTGTCTATTACTGATTGCATTTATCTGTAGAATTCCTCCTTCTTCTCTTCATCTGCATTATTTGTAGGTGCGTAGTGTAGCATTGTATGATTGTGACTTTTCTTCCTTTTGAGTTGGACCCTGCTGTCATGATCCTCATCCTGGTGGAGATTGGTTCCCACTGCATTAAGGAGATCCTTCGATGCTCTTGGTGACGTCATGATAGCCACTCCAAAACTCAGTGTGCTCGTGGTTGTCGTCTGGGTAACAATATCGGAGTAGATTAGATTATTGACTCCTCTCCAGTTGACAGTTTGGAGAGTCCACTTCCATTCCATCTGCTCTCACGAATTCCTAACACTTCTATGCCATACCTTCTCATCTCCTTTGCAATCTGGGCAGCCTTGTCAGCCAGCTTCAAACATTGTTCGGACATTCCATGTCTCCATCCTTACATTCGCTTTCATCGAAAGAAGAGAAGATACATCGGCCGACCGGCTTCGCGAAGGCTTTCACCAACCGGCGTCATTTCGCCTCTTCGATTCCAGGGAGGAATAATATTGTTTGCATTTTTATATTTTGTTTGTGCTTTGAAGTTCTTTTAGCGGTTTGATTGATTTCCCAGGAAAGGGTCGCCAGCCCCACGCCCAACCTAGTGAACCAGTTAAGCAGGCGAGGTTGTCTGTGATGAATTCCAGGTTTGAAAAAATTAGTCCCTTTTATGAATTTGGATAATGTAATTAGAAGACGTAGATTATCTGAAAAATGTGATGTATTAGCGCTATACATTTCGAACAATCTGATCACACATTTACTTGTTAAGGCAATTTATATA